TCCAGCGAGGAAGTGGCAGGTCTGGGTAGTGGCGAGGCCGGGGCTCGAACCCTGAACCCACCCCATGGGGCCTGGCATGTCGCGGAGACGGCACTTAGGGAGGAATGGTCGCTCCAGAAGGGACCAGAGAGCCCGGGTGTGTGTGTGTGTGTGTGTGTGTGTGTGTGTGTGTGTGTGTGTGAGCCCGGAGCCCGGGTGTGTGTGTGTGTGTGTGTGTGTGTGTGTGTGTGAGAGCCCGGAGCCCGGGTGTGTGTGTGTGTGTGTGTGTGTGTGTGTGTGTGAGAGCCCGGAGCCCGGGTGTGTGTGTGTGTGTGTGTGTGTCAGAGAGCCCGGGTGTGTGTGTGTGTGTGTGTGTGTGTGTGTGTGAGAGCCCGGAGCCCGGGTGTGTGTGTGTGTGTGTGTGTGTGTGTCAGAGAGCCCGGGTGTGTGTGTGTGTGTGTGTGTGTGTGTGTGTGTGTGTCAGAGAGCCCGGAGCCCGGGTGTGTGTGTGTGTGTGTGTGTGTGTCAGAGAGCCCGGGTGTGTGTGTGTGTGTGTGTCAGAGAGCCCGGGTGTGTGTGTAAGAAACAGGGCACCCTCGTGGGATGACTTGGCTGCGTGTCTTCCTTTTGGGGGGAGTCAGAAGCCCTAGGCATCTGTTGCTGGATATGGAAGCCTTCCCAGAGGCGGTAGTGCCTGATAAGGTTCTGTTTTGTTGATGAAAAGATGCCAACTCTGTACAATATTTTAAGATGGTTTATTCTGAGCCAAATTTGAGGACTTAAGCCCGGGAATACCCATCCTCAGGAGGTCCCGAAAATGTGTGCCCATTGTGGTTGAATAGTAGCTTGCATAGGTTACAAGAAATAATAAATCAATTACATGTTTTTTTTTTTTTTTCCATATGCTTGACCTGGGAAGGAGGGACATTTCCAAGTGGGAGCTTGTAGGTAACAGATGGAGTCAATGATTTCTTTCTTGATTGGTAGTTTGTAGTTCCTATCTAAGGAATTTGGAAAATCAGTAGAGGAGTTGCTTTGTTAAGATGGGGGTGGGGTGGGGAACTCCAGGTTTGCTGATGTGTAGAAGAAGCCCTATACTTGGGCAAACTTCAGAGAGGGTAGGTAAGTGTTTGGATAGGTAAGAAGATATGCAAGGCTTCCAGAGTCTGGGAGTCCCCAAGAGATGGCTTTGCAGGATCCTAACATACTTTGATTTCCTTCTTTATCTGTTGTGTGATGTTATGCCAGTCAGGTTAGAAAACAAAGTTCAGTATATATGGTAATAAGATGATAAAAGCTTTTCTGATGAGACCTTATTCGGCATGGCTCCCCAACCTCTTAGGAACTTGAATAAGAGATGAAAAGGTTAGAGTTTAGTCCTTAAAGGTAAGAAGTGTGGAGCAGGAGGACTGTGGGAGGACAGAAGTTGCAGGAGTCTTCTTGGGTTTGCAGTCCCTGTAGGCCATTCAGGTGAGGTGTCCAGAAGACATTTGACATGAGGGACAGACCTTGGGAAAAATCCAGCTGAATCCCTGGATTTCAGTGATGAGTGTAACGTTGGTACAAAAGCCATAGGACTGGATGAGGTGGTCTAAAGGGAGATGTAAAATGAGATGACAGTAAAGATGGTGCTCAAGGGAACATAATTTAAGGACAATGAAGGCAGGGGGATACAAAGAGGAGAAAGAGGAAGAGCTAGAGAGGTAAAGGGGAGAGCCAGACTGTGGCTTCCTGGGCATCCGCTTCAGAGACATGGGTAGATCTGATCCCCGTGTCTCCAGGGCTATAAAATACTTTAGGATATAGAGTGGTAGAGTAATAAGACCCTGTTGGTGAGTCCTTGTCTGACAATAAACTCGCCAAATCTTTTAGTTAGGAATTTGGAAGGGGCAAAAAAGACAGGTCTAGTCCTCAGTTTGAAGGCGTGACTAGTAGCTTGAGGTCTCTTTATGACACTACCTGAGACCTTTTTTTTCCCCTTCCTAATGGGAAGCTCAACAATTATCCACTATATTCCAGGGTTGTTTACTGTTGGAGGCCCAAGGAGGCTCAAGACTCCAGGTGAATTACCTCCTGACAGGGACAGGCCTCTGCCTTATTGGTGGCTGTTTCTGTGTGTGAAGAGAAGGGATGTGTTGACTCTTCTCTTTGGGGTGCATAGGAGTCACCAGGCGTGCCTGTTAAAAGGCGGATTCTATCTTCCCTACCCCATTCTGACTTTGTAGTTCTGGAGTGAGGACTAAAGATCCTCTTTTCAGCAAATACACCAATTAAATTTCATACTAATTATTGAGAGATTTATTTTCTGATTCAAGGATATCAGCAGGGAATGAGTTTTTTACATTTGTTTAAATTTTAGAATAGATTTAGATTTACAGAAAAATTATGAAGAGTTCTCACCCTGCAGCCAATTTTTGTTATTATCAGCATCCTACATTAGGATGGTCCATTTGTCACAACCAATATTGATTACTAACTAAAGCTTATACTTCTTTCACATTTCCTTGATTTTACTCAATGCTCTTTTTCTGTTCCAATGTTACAGCTGGGATCCCCCATTACATTTTTAATCAGCATGCTTCTCTTGGTTGTGGCAGTTGGGATGAGTTCTTTTGATAAGGGCATTCTATAGAATTTACCTGACACCTCAGCAAGATTGTGTAAAATTTTGAGTGGGCATGGCATGTTTCCTTAGTCCCCTGGTCATGCTGACAGGCAGCTTCCTGGACTGGAAGCTTCCTCTGGTAGCATGAGTGTTCTTGGTTCCTGTGCTTACTTGCTCTGATCCCATGCTCTTTGTAACTATTGTCTTGGTTTTAGCCTCTTCTGTTTGTTACCTTTGGGCCTGTTGGCTTTATGGTGGCAGACCTTTGGGTGAGAGAGGTTTGCTTTTTGTTTTGTTCCCGAAATCACATCTAGGACTAGTTTTATTTGAAAATGTTAAGGTTGAACTCGTGGGTCTTGTGAGTTGAGGCAGATGGAGCTAGCAACAAGTTCAATGTTTGCTTGCTGCACGCATGATTGGCCTGTAGTCTGGCCACATGATATGACTTTCTGCTGGGGGAACTATTTTCTCCCTAACTCACCTGATCCTTCCTGATTTTTACACATTTATTTCTAATTTTCAGCCTCACCAACAGGCACTGATGTACATTTCAGGAGAACCAGTGGGCTAATGAGCTAATGTGTTTGTTCTTTACTATTACCATTCTCTTTTTTATATTTTAGGCCTAAACCTGAAATAGCCAATAGTTCATAAAATGAGGCCCTGTCTCTCCTTCTGACACCTTTACTTGTGATATTAAATCTAGTGTATAAGCTTATGAAAAAATGGAAATCTTTAGTTTCATTGTGTTTAAGGTCAATGTAAAGTTATTAAAATGAGAGGAATCATTTCATAACCTGAGGAGGAAACTCCCAATCTCGTAGGCTGTCCACCAGTTCTTATGGTTCCTGTGTGTAATGCATTACTCATTGTGGGAGCTCAGTAGATGAATGAAAATGGTTGCCACACCGTGTTTGCACACCACTTTAAACTTTGTGAAGTCCCTGGTACCTAGCACAACCCGCAGCAGTAAGTGTTTAGAATGCTCTCATTCAACTGTCACATCAGATAGGGAAGGCAGTGTGGTACAGAAGGTAGTTAGGAATGTGCACTCCAAGCTGGGCACAGTGGCTCAAGCCTATAATCCTAGCACTTTTGGAGGCGGAGGTGAGAAGATTGCTTGAGACCAGGGTTCGAGACCAACCTGGGCAACTTGGCAAGATTTTGTCTCTACAATAAATAAAAAAAAAACTAGCTGGGCATGGTGGTGCATGCCTGTAGTTCCAACTACTTGAAAGGCTGAGGCATAAGGATCACCTGACCCCAGCAGGTCAAGGCTGCAGTGGGTGACAGTGAGATTCTGACTCAAAAAAAAAAAAATAGTGCACTCCAGAAGATTGCCAGGGTCCACTCTGGGCTCTGCCATTCACTGTATGGCATTGGCAGGTTATTTAACTTCTCTCTTGTCCCTTTTTCTTTTTCGAAGATACAGTGATACTTGCCCGATAGGAGCATTGTGAGGATGGATGTGAAAGACTCAAGATGGTGTGTGGAACCTGATGATCTTGGCTCATAACCAAGGGAGGAATTAGGGAGGAGGAGGTTATTTCATACTCTTTGAATGAAGAAATGTTGTTCCCAAGTCTTCTTCCTGGGTTTGTAAACAGCTGCAGGCCTTATTCAGGCTGTGTGGTTAGTAATCTCATAATGTGTTATTGCTTGGTAGTACATTTCAACATTTGCTTGTATTGCTTTTAACTTACCCTTTTGCATTAAGTGTGATTGTAGGTTTGTAATAGCATAATGAGATGGTGTGTCCACCTAAAGCTGGTACTTTCTGTGTTTAATGTAGGACTGCAGAGAGGGCAAAATAGCCCCCAAATAGCAAAACACAGTTCTGATGGCATAATGCATTGTTTACTTCGGGTCACAGGCATGTTAGTGTGCATATACGGTGTTCCTTCATCTAAAGAATGCTTTAATAATGTGTTGTTTCCCTAGGGTCAGGGATGTGTTAGTATGTATATGCGATGTTCATTCATTTAAAGAGTGCTTTAATATTTGAGCCTCTGCTAGGCTGTAAGAGAATGATATATTTTTAAAAATTTGTATATATAACACCTACCTTTTATTGAGTTCTGACTTTGTACCAGGTACTGTGCTAAATCTAAGTCCTTTACGTACATCTTATTTTAGCTGTACAATAGCTGGATGAGCAAGATAACCTACTTTATGATAATTTGCCCATGTTCACATAGCTTGCAAATGATGATATCAGGAAACAAACTCCATTTGACTCAAAGCCTTCTACGCTATGTTGCCTGGACCAGTGCAACAACAACAAAAAAAATGAAAATATTAAACGAAGTGTTTACATATATAACAAAGAGTGGGGATATGAACTGTGAATAAGTCACAAATGTAATCATGAAATACTCTGTTTAAACCTGCCAAGATTTCCCCTTCCCTAAAAGCTTTCAGGATAAAGCTCTGCTTGCTCAGTTTTGCACCCCAAACCCTTAAATATTTGTGTGTTCAAAGAGACCTTTGCTGGGTGCAGGGTGCTGCACCTGTTCAAAAGCGCTCGGGGTAACTCTCTTGGTAGCTGGGTCTGTACTCTCTGCCCTACTCCACCAGAGTAGTGCCAGTCTGCTGCTCCACGGTGGCCGCCTTGGATGCTTCTAACTCCCCCTATCACTCTTTATCCTTTCTTCTTCTTCTTCTTTTTTACTCAGCCTCACTAATCATCAGAAAAATGCAAATCAAAACACCCTTTCTCACTTCTATCTAGACATATCACACTACTTTTTTTTCCATGTCCTCAAGGAACTTGAGTCAGAAAAGTAAAGTTGAGATGTGGGCACAGAATTAGAAGTGTTATGGCAGAGAAATGGACCCGATGCCAGGGGAGCTGGGAGGAGAGGCATCCATCACATCAGTGGACAAGGAGAGCTGTATCCCTCCCTGACAAGGTAGAGTTTGAGCTGAAAGCTCAATGGTGAACTGGCATTGTTCATGTGAGGATGTGAGGTGTGTTCCAGGTAGAAGGAAGGGGAACATAGTTGGATATGTCTAGATAGAAGGTGTGTGAGCGATAAGGGTCAGGGTCAGCGAGGATCCAAATAATGCAGGGATGTGGGTGTAAAACAGCAATTTGAACATTATCCTGAAAGCTCTTGGGGGAGGGGAGGTCTTGGCAGGTCTAAACGGATTGTTTCATGGTTCCAGCTTTGTATTGGGAAGATTACTCTGATAAGTGGTGTGCAGGATGGAATACAGGGGGGCCCTGAGACCATGTATGTTATTCTAATGAATGTGGAGGGCAGAGGAAAGTCATTGGGGTTGAAGGGTAGAAGACAGATTTGAGGGCCATTAAGGATGTCTTGGTGACCAAGGGTGGGTGGGAAGTTTGGGGCAAGGGTGACCCAGATTTATGGTTTAGATGGAGGTTGTTCATTACAAGGATGGCAAGTGCACAAGAAGGAGCAGAGTTAGGTCCAAGTGCTGTGCGTGGTTTGAGGTGGGTTGAGGTAGGTGGAATGAGTAACTAGAGAGCAGCTCCGGGAGTCTGCCCCACTGGGGGTATGAGAATAGATAGGGACACATCCAGGATGTCAGTGGTGATGTATATGAGGATTTAAAAGCAAGCTGAGTGCCATACAGTTGAGTGTCTTGCCCCTGCTGTGCACACACCTGGTAGGTGTCGGGGTGTGCACCCAGGGCTGTCTGGCTTCCATGCCCACAGACGTGCTGCTCTTTTGTGCTGAACACCTGCCTCTGTTCTCTTGTTTACTTTGCCTCCCAGAGGGTAGATTATGGACCAGTTGCTGGTATGGTGATTACTTTTTCAAGCGGTCATCACCCACGGCCCCATAGGATCAGGTGTTGGTCCCTGCACTGCCCACCTCCGTCCTTCCATGTGTCCCAATGGCAGTCTTGGTACAGCTCGGGCTGGGGATGATAGCTGGTCATTCTTAGTAGTAGCAGATAGAACTTACATGCTGCTTAATAATAGTTTTCTGGAAGATGTTGAGGGGAAACATTACCTGAGATTCATCCTTCTCACCCTAGCCCGGAGATTTTGTTCTTGCCAATTGGTCTTAAGATAGAAAGCCTAAGTTTTAGGACAGGTTTGTAATTATGGAGTTCAACAACGGTTTTAGCAAACTCATCTCCCAACCCAGCAGAAGGGAACCTTCTAGCTGCTAGACAAACAGCAGCCCTATTTGTCCAGTGATTGGCACAGGAGGGGCAGACAAACCTTGAATGTGACTTTCCACAATTGACCTTCCCAAGAACTGGCTAAACCTGGGTATTCCGGGTTGTGTGCATGAGCACTATAGCCAGGTGTTCATAATTAGAGTTCTTAGATTTATATTTTTGAAACTTTTCTTCTTTTTTAGGCAACCTCCCGACTTCTTGTAAATTACCCAGAGCCCTATCGTTCTCAAATATTGGATTATCTCTTTAAGGTAATGAAAACATATTTATTTTATGTTACCTGTGATATCTTAGAAACTGTATGGTGAATTTCACCCATAGAATTTTTAAGCTTAACAATTCTTGTTTTTGAGGAAATGACAATTACTTTTGGAGTAAGTTGTTACTTGAAGTTTTGCTTTTGTTTTCACACCTGTAAAGCCAAAGGCAACAATTAGGAATTGTCTTGAAGCTTTCTATGAGGAAGCACCATGCTAATATCATTACTTCTCTCCACAGCCGTACTTCGGTGCCTCTTTGCACATTCTAAAAGTGGAAATAGGGGGAGATGGGCAGACAACAGGTAGGAGAATTTGGGAGATGGGATCCCCCCAACTCTTTATATCTAACCATATCGACACCCTTCATCGTCATTATTTTGATTGACTTTGTGGAATACCTTTGTGGAATACTGCATCAACTAGCAGTTTATAAGTCTTTGGTTTCCAAGAAGAAGAAAAAAGAATTTTTTCAATGTTTAGATATGGCTTATCATTTATAGGCCAGATTTCACTATAGTGAACTCTAGCGTATCTTCTGTATGTTGTGTTCCTGCTACTGAATTGGGAATTTTTGTTAAGCAGATAGATCCGTGTGGTGGTATTAGTGTTCAATTATGTTGAAAGAAAATACTATAAAGAAAACAAAAGAAATCCCCCATAACAGAAACTTTCTCCCAGCTGTTTCAGAGGGTCTGTATTTTATCGTCAAAACCTTCTAGTCAGAATTGATCATGACTGGCCCGTTTCATCTGCGGATGCTAAATTAGAGGGAGAGACACAGAAGCAGGCAGTTCTTGTGAATTCTGATGTTTACCTTTAAGAAGAAATGGGTAAGGGCCCTCTTCTTGGAAGGCCCTACTTAGCAAGGGCAGATGTTTGTAGACTGTGGGAATGCACAGGGACTTGGGTGTCAGTTACCCACCTCAACACTATGAAGATGTCACATCAACTAACTGTAGATGTTACCATAGAATTTTGTTATTGTTATGGTGGAACTGTGTACTCATTTCTTCTTTCTTGATACTCTTGCTATATCAAGACATATTATAGGCTTAGGGTGTCTGAGTATTGGGGCTTAGGAATCCCGTTCACTTCCAGAATTGAGATGCTAGAAGTCGAGGTAATGTGAACTTGAAGTTGGATGCAGGGATTTGAAACCCATAGAGAGATGGAGAGTCTAGCATTATGTAGTACAAGGCATCTTTAATTATATGAGTTAATAACATTTCTTTTAATATGGTACAAAGTTGTGGTTTTATTATTTAAGACCTTTACAATGCTTAGGATAATGAAAAAGAGATGAAACGATATGCTTCGATCATCCATCCTTAAGTTATGTGAGACTATTCTTATTTGCCCAATGTCAGGACTGGGATTGGAATAACTGCTTTAGTGAAGTGTGTGCATGTGCATGTGTGGGGGTTGTCCCAGGCAGCACCATCCACGGGTCATTTCCTTCTTTGCTCTCCTCCGTTCAGATGGCACTGAGCCCTCCCACATGCACTATGCGCTAGACGAGAATTATTTCCGAGGATATGAGTGGTGGTTAATGAAGGAAGCCAAGAAGAGGAACCCTAACATCACACTCATAGGTAAGGAATGATGTTGCAATGCTTCCACCATCTTTTTTCCCTTAACTTTTAAATTCTGATTCATATTGGTGGAATCTCTATTAAGATTGATGCACTACTGATGTTAATACCACTGGTGTGCAAGCATGTGCCAGGTGTGATCCTCTCTTTGACCTTGTATCAGAGCTTTATAATACCTCTGGAGCAGATGTTACTCTTTTCATTTTATGAAAGAGCAGTGGAGGCTCAGAGAAGTTATGCCTCTGACCTAGTTTATGCCACAGTTAGTAAATGACAAAATCAGTTTCAGAACCTTATTTCATTTTTTCTTTCTGGGTTGCCGAACTACTTTTCTTGACCAGAATCTCTCATTTAAAAAACTGTAAAAAGCTAATACTGTTTACAAAATTGCATATTATATGCAGTAGTTCACCCAACTATTTATGAAATTACATGTAGTGGTAAATCCTGTTTTTAGAAGAGGTACATACTCTTCTAAAAACTATTTATGAAATTACATGCAGTGGTAGACCCTGTTTTTAGAAGAGGTACATACAGAAATGTTTTTTATTTGTTTGTGAACCTTAGTGACATGCTGCACACAGTTCTATAGACTAGGGATACCAAAAAAAATCCAGTCTCCAGTTTCTGCTCCTGTGCGTCCGAGTTTCTAGGAGAAGGATCATTGGGTTATTGTTCAAATGGGCCTGTATTCATTTCACAGTTTGTGGTAATGCATCTAGGGCCTGTGAAGTACATCTGAGACCAAAGTCGGTGTGTTCTGGGTGGTATGGCTGTAGACATGTGGAGTATTTCAGACATCCAATATGATGGGATACTTTCACCATTTGAAATAGATTTGAGTTTTTGAAACAGGATTACATTCAGACTAAGTTAAGTGAAGTTAATGATTTGTTTTAAAGTCTTGATCTCAGCCGGGTTTGGTGGCTCAGCCTGTAATCCCGCGCCTTTGGGAGGCTGAGGTGAGTGGATTGCCTGAGTCCGTGGGTTCGAGACCCGCCTGGGCAGGCGAGACCTCATCTCTACAATAAAATCAAAAAATTAGCTGGGTGTGGTAGCGCTCGCCCGTAATTCTGGCTACTCGGAAGTCTGAGGCGGAAGGATCGCCAGAGCCCAGCAGGTCGAGGCTGCAGTGGCCGGGAGCGGCCACTGCACTCCAGTCTGGGCGACAGTGAGACTCCAACTCAAAAAAAATAAAAATAAAAAATAAAAATAAATAAATAAAGTCTTGATCTTGAGTTATTTTAAAAATAATGTTCTCAACAATCAGTGAATAAGAGTAATATTTTCTAAAACAAAAACAAAAAAAAAAAACAAGGGATGAGTGTGTTCTTTCTAAGTGGGCTGTTGTATGAGATTCCAGAAATGTTTTGAGCAGTAAAAGCTCCACTGAATGTAGCACATTCTCACTGGGTTGCTTCCAGGGTCAGACCTCATTTAAATGTTGAAAACCTGGCTGTTAAATCATATCTAAACAAAGACTTACACATGGTGGGCCTTCAGATTGTATTGAGCATTTCATTGTGTTCAAATGTTCTATTATTATAATGTCACATTTCTCGTATAATACTCTTAGGCAGTCCTCCTGAGTTTAGACAAATAAGCATTTTGTCCTTTTGATTTTCATTTTTTCAGTGGTGACCTAGTTTGGTAATATATTTGTCAGCTAAGGAACTTAACTGTTGAGCTTATTTTGGTATATTAGTAGCTACTTGGATTTAGAATCATAATTAGTGCTTTTCTACTCTTCTCCGTTTCTTTTACTTAATAATCAGAGTTATTGAAAGAATCTGGACTTATTTGGTGTGTATCATTTAACAAAGGTACATTTTCCTATTGAGTCATTGCCATTTATATTGATATATTGACAAACTGGTTTTGCTGAATTAGATTGCCTAATATTTTAATCGGTTTTAAGTTTTAAGAAGTTGTACTAGTGATAAGAAATTTGTGTTGTACTTACCTCGTAGGAGTAGTTTCGCATAAGCCTTTTAGAGCTCTTTGATTTTATCTCAGAACACAGAAATTGAATATTATATAACCCAATAGAGAGTAGAAATGTTAAGTTAAAATGTATGGTACCTTTCTTTCTTTTGGAAAGTGTCTTTGAGAGAGGTGTTTGTATTTGCTATTTGTTTTTCTTTTTCCTGGAAATAGCATTTGGAATTATGGGACCTGACTCTGGGGACCAATAAGAAATTATAGTGTGTATAGATTGGAAAGGATTTTGGCATTTTTTGTGTGGAATACCATCTTTCCTTTAGTCAGATCTGTATTGGTCTTTTGCTTGGCTGAGTGCTTTTTTGTTGTTGTTTTAGTATTTCTGGTGCTACTATACCCATTCTTCCCTTGACTCTTTCCTTCTCTCTGCAGGGTTGCCGTGGTCGTTCCCTGGATGGCTGGGAAAAGGTTTCAACTGGCCTTATGTCAATCTCCAGCTGACTGCCTACTATGTCGTGACCTGGATTGTGGGTGCCAAGCATTATCACGACTTGGACATTGATTACATTGGAGTTAGTAAAAAATTAAAATTTGATTCATTTTTGGGCATTTATTTGTAATTTTTAAAATTAATCTGGTACTGTGGCACATTGTTGACTCACCATTTTGTGTCATGAGACTATTTCTATTGGTGTCTGATAAGAAAACAAATTAACCACATGTGACCTTTTATTCTCCTCTTTGCCATCCAAACTCTTCTTCCCACTCTTGAAAACTGTATTAAGTATATACTTTCACTGAAGTTTTTTTTTTATACCATCCCAACACAACAATCTCCTTCTTTAAAGCTTTTCCTAATTTCTTTAGTTTTAAACACATTATTGTGTTTGTTGCAATACTCTATAAACTATAAAGTTTGGTGATTTTTCTCATTTTATTCTGTGAGTCTTCTATTGTTATTCTAAACCAGGGATTGGCAAACTTTTTCTTAAGGGATTGGAGCATAAACAGTTTTGGGTTTTTGGGTCAAAAGGCAATATTAAGGCTCCTTTTTAAGGTACAAGTAGTTATGTAATCATTTAAAACTAAAGACCATGTTTAGCTTCCAGGCAGTACAAATACAAATACATTGGGTGGCAATGGACCAGATTTGAAAGACTGTCTGAATTCTACCTCTACCTGTCCCAGACTGTTGCTTCACATTGTCTAATGATTTAAAAAGTGTAAAACATGAAATCAGTCTTTCCAGCTTGTCTGGCTGGCAGGCTGGAGGCTTCAGACTGCTTCATACCCCACAGAGCCTCACACACACACAGTGGGGCTCCGTGAACATCTGCTTATGAACATACCATCTGTCAAAACACACAAGTTTTCATGCAATCATGATTTTAATTATCAGCAAGCAATTATTGAACCCCTGCTGTGTTGCAGGAATTGTGACTGCAATGTTCTAGGATATCAAAATTAATAATCTCTTAAGGAATTCGGTGAGAGGCAGACACTGGAAGATCCGTACAGGTACAGTTTTATCTAAACTGCGGCCTTATAGGATGATGATGTGAGGAGGAACAATAGCCATTGGAAGCCAGAAGCAAGAATAGGCTTGTGTTTGGGGTCCTTTTCCAAAGTATAACTGAAAATTAGTTTGTATATGAGAGCTTTCTTAAATGTCAGAACATTTTAAACCCATAGTAAGTAGAAATGTAGGTTTGGGTATAATGACTTTCTATTGTGGTACAGTCACATTTAGAAAAAATTTCTGGCAAATAATATGGGTGATTCACATCTTTCTTAGACTCTTGATAATTACTTGATAATCAAAGCAACTTTGATTTAAAACAAAAACAAAAAACTCCTGTATTATTGAAGTGAAAACAATTATAGCACCTGACTCCAGGCTCATCTCTGTTATTAACAGTTTTCTCAACTGTCAAATGACAATGATTGACATCCTCTTTCAACTCTAAACCCCCATGCTTCATGATCTCAAACCCGAGATTCATGTGTGTCCTTTTATCTGTCCTCATTAAGAGTTTTTTTTGTGATCTAGCATATCATTGTGATTCTCTGTGTTTAAAGAATCTCTTCTACACTGTACTTACTAATATTTGGCTTTCAGGTGTACCTGTAGGGATCTTGTCAGGATTATCACAGTAATCTATATATCTGTTCTAGTGACCAGTTAAATCCCTGATACATACTACACTGTCAATATTTGTTGAATGAATGAATATTTAATTGTTGGAAATCTCTGGATTAAATGACTTTTGAAAAATATCCTTCAAATATTTTAACTTTAAGAAGTTATATTGTCTTAAAACTATCTATAAATTCTATGGCAGGCTATTCTATAAGGTAAGAAAAATGCCTTATCAGATAATTATGAAAGATGATGGAAGAAGTGGTATCTTAATGACATTGCCTACTCTGTGACATTTAAACACCTTCAATTCAGACTTCTTTGATGTTTTGTTTTTCAGGTTTGGAATGAGAGGTCATTTGATATTAGTTATATCAAGGTCTGTACAACTTTAATATCTTTCTAAGTTATTAGTGAATTATTCCTTATAGTTTCATACACAGGAATTAGTAGAAAATTTGTAGTAGAGATACCATATTTTTTACACCACAGTTACTTAATTTGCTAGTTGTAAAATAAGATTCAAGCAAAATTTTGATAATGTTTATATTTCTGATATTAAAGCACATATAATTCTTTGTAAGACCTGAATTGCCTTTGTCTAAAGAGTTGGGTTGAATTTTCAGTTTTCCTATTTTAGAGTTTATTAGTTTTGGAATTATGATAGATATTATAAAACATTTGTAAGATTTTATACTTTAGAACTTCACAAAATGTAGCTTTTTCTTTCATTGGTTTATGTCAAAATGCATTGCATAAATTCTCATTCTTGTTTTCCTTGGAATATTGAGGTGTGTTATATAGCATGTTTCTCTTTGTGACTAGCAAAGAGGTAGCAGTAACATTTGCATATTGTGTTATTTTTGAGCTACTTTTCCTAAATATTTATCTCTGTTTAGTTCTCACAACCTCCCCATGAGGTAACTACTATTATTGCTATTTTCCAGGAAAGAGAAAACTGAGAATAGCAGCTACTTCTATAATTGGAAAACAAATGACAGTTTTATTGATTAATTGATTGATTTGGAGTCTCACTCTGTTGCCCAGACTGGAGTGCAGTTGCACGCTCCTGGCCACTGCAGCCTTGACCTGCTGGGCTCCAGCAATCCTTTTGCCTCAGCCTTCCAAGTAGCTGAAGCTACAGCCGTGTGCTACCACGCCCGGCTAATTTTTGATTTATTGTAGAGACGAGGTCTCACCAAGTTGCCTGGGTGGGTCTCGAATCCACCGGCTTAGGCAATCCACTCGCCTCGGCCTCTCAAAGTGCTAGGATTACAGGCTGAGCCACTCAGCCCAGCTGACAGTTTTATTTTTTAGAGGGAACTGTTTTCTAGTTTAATTTTTGGTTCCATTTGTCTTGTTTCATGTATCTTTTCCCTAAGAAATATAATTATGTGGTTATATTTCATTCCAGTTTATAACATATTCTTTTTAAAAATTTTTTAATTTAGAAAATTTTATTTTTTATTTTTATTTTTTGAGTTGGAGTCTCACTCTGTCACCCATACTGGAGTGCAGTGGCCACTCCTGGCCACCGCAGCCTCAACATGCTGGGCTCCGGCGATCCTTCTGCCTCAGCCTTCCCAGTAACCGGAATTACAGGCATGCGCTACCATGCCCAGCTGATTTTTTTTGATTTATTGTAGAGATGAGGTCTCGCTGCCCAGGTGGGTCTTGAACCTGCGGGCTCAGGCAATCCACTCACCTCAGCCTCCCAAAGGCGTGGTATTACAGGCTGAGCCACGGAGCCCGGCTTATAACATATTCTTTGCATTGAGTGTTTTATGTTCTTAAGTAGATAATATCCAATACGTTTCTTTCATTCATTCAGTCAGAAAGTATTTACTCAACATCAGCTTATTGACATTATGCACATGGTTGGAATACAAGGGCAGAAAATACTTTTCCTGTCCCCAAGGAGTTCACTTCGGGGGCTGAAAGGGTGTGTGTAGAGTCAGCTGTGGACAACTAGAATTTGTCGTAATTTCTCTAATGAACTAACGCACATACTGTGTTCTCAGGCTCAAAGAGGAGATGACATCTTTGCCTGGGTAGATTAGGGAAGTCTATGGGAAGAGGTGGTGTGTAGTGGAATCTTCAAGAAGGGGAGGGGAGGAACTTCCAGTTTGCTAAGGCAGGGGCCTAGCATGTGCAAGGAGTGAAGACTGAGAGGTGATGGCGTTTGAGGGACAAGCAGGTCATAAAAGACTGATTAGACAAATGAAGAGAAGTAGGGGCTCTGATTCCAGCCAGGGAGCTAATGTACTTACTGGAGTAAATGGCACTTTATAACTAATCACTAGTTGTAGAGGAGGAGAGACTTGGATTTGAGAGGAGCCATTGCTGCCAGAGCCAGGTAACTCAAGGTCAGTTCCAGGCTGCAGGCATTTCTATTTGGTATGGTGGGGGCAGGGTGAGTGTGGGAGGTGGTGCAATAGATCTAGCGTAAGATCAAAGTGCAAGGATTATGAGTGGCAAGTCGTTACTGCTGTGAGGACAAGTCTGATGAGAGCTGCGAGAGGACAGAGCAGAAGCCAAGTCAGTGTGTGTGTGACAAGAGCCAGGAGAGGACAGGTTAGAAGCCAGGTTAGTGCATGTGTGATGAGAGCTGAAAGAGCAGGGGCCAAGGCAGTGCATGTGTGATGTATACCCTGTAACCACATGGATTGTAACGCTAAAGAATCTTTGTAGTAAAAGGTGCTGACCTTTTTAAATACCCACATTTGACATTTCATAGCTTATGCTTTGTTTTCTTATGAATATACATGCTTTTCTCTTGTGTTCATCTCATTTGAGGGAAGCATTAGAGTATGGTTTCCATTTTCTTTTGAACTAATGATTTAGGCTGGCTGTTATTTTATTTTAATTCTTTTCATTTTACTGTTAAAAGTCTGTTGCTGACTCTAGTACATTCTAATTCACCTTAACTGTTTTGAAAGACTAATTGTTACTCTAAGACTCATTATCAGTGTTTTAACAGTTCAGACTTTATTTCCTTTTCCTGGAGTAAAATGTCTCAGGATGTAGAAACTTTTAGTTTGTGTTTGCTATTTTTGTAGCAAAATGAGATAAAATAAATTGGGATCTGTGTTCTGTTTGTTGAAATGCTTGTTGTAAAGCATTTAGTAATGACAAGTGAATGTAGGTGCTTAGGTTAGATAACCTTGAAAAATACAAATTTCATATAGTGTATTAAGATGACCCCTGCAAATAATAAGGATTTGTTTTAAAGGGAGGATGTAAATATAATTATACAAACAAGAAATTTATGTAAAGATGCCAAGGGCATTGTTTTGTTTTTTTTTTTAAATTTTTTTGAGTTGGAGTCTCACTCTGTCACCCAGGCCGGAGTGCAGTGGAATGCTCACAGCCACTGCAGCCTTGACGTGCTGGGCTCAGGCGATCCTTTGCCTCAGCCTTCCATTTAGCTGGAACTACAGGTGCATGCTACTATGCCTGGCTTTTTATTTGTTTGTTTGCTTATTGTAGAGATGAGTTCTCACCAAGTTGCCCAGGCTGATCTTGAAGCCCTGAGCTCAGGCAATCCTCTTGCCTTAGCCTCCCCAAGTGCTGGGATTATAGGCTTGAGCCACCATGCCCGGTTGGCATTGTTTTTTTTTAAGTTTATTTTTTGCTACTTATTTTTATGATTTATTCTGGTTTTTAGTGTTATTCTTAGGGTTTTAAAATTGGAAAATCTCATCCAGGATCCGGGGGTGTAGATGGAAATGGAAGTGGGGTTGGGACCCTTATTCAGTTTAGCCAGAACAGCTTCCTTTTCATTTACCTTATAAATAGAGCTTCTGCTTTTTCTGGAGGAGAAGGTTTCCACAACACAACAGCATCTCAAAACATGGCAGATAAAACCTTCTCCATAGAATGTTGCTATTCATACTGACTTAGAGATGGAGACTTATTTAGAAATCACAGCTTGTAGCTGTGTCTATTTTGGAATGTTATTCAAATATGCTGCATAAAACAGTAAGCGATCTTGCAAGGGATTGTCTAGGAATAAGACTGAAGAAAAGAGATACATCCATCGTGGTGAGTGAAGATTTTACCAAGTTGCTCTTCCTTCTCCTGAAGAATAAAAAAGAACTTCAAGGTGATAAAACTCAAGACTGAGCTCCTGCTAGAGGGATAGGGATTTTCAGTCCTACTGCTTCTTGAGTTCTCGTCCCTATTCACTACTAAGGATCTGTTCATATTGCTTCTAGGGTGGCCTAGACTCAACTGACCCTGTTTGAAAGATGAACTTGGATGGCCACTCTCATTCCCACCACATTTTCTAAAATGTACATCTGTTTTAAGAAACCAGCCATTGAAAAATATACCATGGATTTAATTCGAGATTTTATTATTTGCCTCCAAAAAGAGCATATTAATTGGAAATTTCCCTGGTTGAGAAAAGTTAGAATTGAGATTGTGCCATTCTTTGTTTTTTCTTATCTTAATTCAATCAATATTATTGAGCACCTGCTGCTGTGTGTTAGGTGGTCCCAAGTGCCCGGGGGTGTAGTGGTGGATTTGTTTGTGTCCATTCATCAATAACTGCTTCTGGTATGAACTTGGATCCTCCTAATCCCGGGTGAAGTGATGTCTCTGTTTCTCTGCTCTTGATTTACATACAGGCGACCCATCTATTTAATGTTCTGTCACCCTGTTAGCTCTGTGTCCTGATCAGTGAGTTTACCACCTGAGGGTGAGGGCCTGTCTTGTGCCTACCAGAGTAGATGCTCCATTTGTGCTTTGTCAATTTAATTCCTGTTAGAATTTAGCTTGTTAGTTTTAATTTTTGTGAGTGGACAGTCCCACAGGTATATTTTATTTCCTTTATTGTTTATAAGTATGAAAGGTTTGGAGGTAAGAATGGAATTTTTTTTTCTACTTCTGGCATGGTGAAAAATATTAAGAACTATAATATTTTCAATAATGAAATAATATTTAGACATTGGAAGATATTTAAAATAAAATGATAAGTTAAAGCATTTTGCCAAATGGTATGTTTACTGTGATCTGCATTTTATTATTGTGTCTGCATGGGAAAATTCCTGGAAGAATACATACCAAAATAATAGTGGTTATTTCTGGGTAGTACTATTTGATTATTTTAATTTAAATTCTTCCCCACCCCCCACGAAGATTTCTTTCTTTCTTTCTCTCTCTCTCTCTCTCTCTCTTTCTCTCTCTCTTTCTTGTTGGCGTCTCACTCGGTTGGCCAGGCTGGAGTGCTGCTCACGGCCACCCCAGCATTGATCTGCTGGGCACTGGTGATCCTTCTGCCTCACCCTTCCAAGTAGCCGGAACTATAGGCGTGTGCTACCATGCCCAGCTAATTTTTTTTTTACTTATTGTAGAGACGAGTTCTCGCCAACTTGCCTGGGATGGTCTCAAACCTGCAGGCTCAGGCAATCCACTCACCTTGGCCTTCCAAAGTGCTGGAATTATAGGCTGAGCCACCGAGCCCTGCCCAATATTTCTATGGTTAAATATAAAATTTAAAGTCAGAGGGAAAATTCTTCTAAAACATTTTCCCCCCCCCTTTGTCCTTTCTACATTCCCATCAAATAGGTTATCTTAATGATACTACTTTATTTTCCTTGGGAGTCACGTTTCAATTGAGAAATATTATTAAAACCATTGTCCAGAATGCTGGATTTAAAAGATACTTTAGCTATCTTGATTGTAATTGAACAGCTAAAAACTCATTTATAACCTTTCCTCTGTTCTGTTTATCTCCAAAGGTTTTAAGAAAAATGCTGAACTATCAAGGTCTCCAGCAAGTGAAGATCATAGCAAGTGACAATCTCTGGGAGCCCATTTCTGCCTCCATGCTGCTTGACTCTGAGCTCTTGGAGGCGATTGATGTTTTAGGGTAAGGAAGTTTTACTTTGAAAATTAGCAGTTTCTGATTGCTTGCCCTGGGTATTGACTGTACCTGTTTTTATTGTCCTTTCAACCATTTGATTACATTCTCAGAAGGGAACTCTCTTATATTTGTAGTTCATAGTTCATTTCTTTCTCTTTAGAATGTATTCATTTTAGGATTTTTGTATGACAGTGAAACGTATTGGTAACTTTTTAAAAAAAGTATTGATTTCTGTAGTCATAAAGCAGGACTTTATTTAGGTTAAGGAGCAGGGTAGTATCTGTATTTAATTTTGGCAATTATAAAGGCAAAGTTGTGAAATGAGTTTTTGTCTCTCAGGTTTCTGTGGCTGAGAGTCCTTACAAGAACACTTCCATGAATGGTTTGGTGTGATCACACACTGTAACTTTCTTCATGTCTCTTAAGTAGTCTTTAATTCTTCTCCTTCCATGTCTGCTTTTCAGCTCTCTGGCCCCTGACCTCATTGGGTTTATTTTTTTAAAAGTGAATTTGTATTTTATTCATCACGATAGAGGGTATAAACATTTAAAAAAATAGATATTTTGTGGAGTTTGTTCTTTAACTACTGTGAAGACTCTGAATGATCTTTACATGGGCTTTACTTTTTTTTAATGAAGAATTTTGAATGCACACAGAAGTAGGCAGAGTAGTACAATGAGTGTGCATGTTTTTGCCACTCAGATTCAAGAACTGTGGCCAATTCTCCGTCCAGACACCTGTCCCGCTCATCTCTGCTTTCAACTTCATGATTTTGAAACAAATCCCAGGCACTGTATTAATAGTTTCCTGATATTATCAAATACAAATGTAATAGTTGTATAATAATGTAAATAGTTGTAATCGTTTCTTGACACTATCAAATATTCATTTTTATTATAGTTTAAGATTCATACATTGTGATTGGTTGAAAAAATTGGGTTGTTTGTCTTATAGATTTTCTCTCAGTCTGGATTTTACTGGTTCACCTTGGAAGTTTAATTTAGTGTGTTCGTCTATCCTATTTTTTCTTAGAAATTGATAGACATATGATTAGGTTAGATTAGCCTTAATTTTTTTTGGCAAGATAAATAACAAATGTGCATTATATTTAAACAAGTGCTTATTTCTCAAGAGCATATCTTGACTTATTGGGATGTGTTCTTTATCAGGATAAAGGCTGAGTGTCTAAACATCCACCTTATTGATTATATTGTTTAGATAACTGTGTCTTAAGTATTTTGTTCATGTGAGCTGTCCAGGGCTACCAAGAGTGCTTCCTCCTATGAGTGGGCTTCCATTTCTCCTTTCAATCTTACACAGTTTTTGCTGTGTGAAAGTTGCTGCTGTGTTATTTGTTACATAGCTATTAATGAATGCTTTCTCTTCATTGTGATTTGTAACTGTTATCATTAGTGAAAGTTGTTCTTTGTCTATTTTAAAGCTTCTGGGTCTGAATTCTGCTGTGTATGTGATTGAGACCCCTGCTTTATTTTATTTGTATTTTCCTGATACATTTTTGTCCATCTTTTTCCTTTACCTTTCATAGTCATTTTGTTTTAGATGCATGGCTTGTATGTAGCCTAGAGCTAGATTTTGCTTTTTTTTTTTAGATGCTCCAAAAATGTTTATGTCTTAATGAGTGAAACTCATTTATAGTTTTTTATGTAACAGATGTTTGTGTTTTCTGTGCTACCATATTGTCTTTTGTTATTGAATTAGTTATAACATACATATTATAAATACAATACAACATTTTCTTCTATGTGTTTTTTTTCTTTGCATTTGTTTAAGTAGATGTCTCTCTTGTTATTTAGCAAGATTTGTTTTTGGTTCAATTTATTATATTTATACTGATTTACACCTTTGTACTAGTGATTCTCAGCGGGGAGTAATTTTGTTTCTCAAAAGGCATTTGAGGTATTTTTAATTGTCACAAGTAGGCAGGGAAGTGCTACTGGCATCTGATGGGTGGAGGACAGGAATGCTTCTAAATGTGTTCTAATGCACAAGATTGTTTTCTCATTAAAAAAAAAAAATCCATCCTAAAATGTCAATAGTACTGAGGTTGAGGAACTTCTGTTAGCTAATCCTCTTGGTTTCCTCTTCATGTAGGTATTGTCTATTGATTTTACTATAAGCAGTACTGAAATCGTTTGATAACTACTTCTCCCTTCCCTTTTTTCTCCTACCATGGAATTTTAATTACCAGAATTATTTTAGTTTTAATCTTTGTACTTTTTACATGAACTTAAGCTCTACTCTGCTGATTTGACAGCTGAAAATTATACCTGTAAAATCCCAGATAATCTGCAAACTTTATACATTTCACTCCTTCCTCCCTTCTCCTATTTTTTGTGAGCTATGTTAGTTGCACTTAGGCAAGCATGTAATACTTATATACTATTTATTTTGATCTAGCTCCACCATTAAACATGTTAAATGCTCATCTTCAAGTCTTTTGCTGAAGTTTCTTTCTCAGTTTCTTGGGTGTCAGAAGCTTAATCTCTATTAAATGTTTCAGAAAGTGTTAATGAAAACAGTATTTCTTGATTTTTTTTTTTTACATGTTTATTACCATTCATCTGTGACTGTTATACTTGAAGGACAGTTTGGCTGAATGTAATCTTTTTCAATCCTTGAGTATCACAAAATTTGCTCTATGGGTTATTTATATATAATGCTATTGAGAATTCTGACTCTCCAGAGTTAGTTTCTTTTTCTTATTAAAAACTTTGCATAATTTCTACAGACTCAAATAATGTTATTTGTCTTTAATCCCTAGTAGTTTTATACTGTTTACCATTTCCAGGTATATAGTGTATGCCCTTTTGATATCTGTATTTAAGTATTTTCTTATTTCAGTAAGGCATATGTAAATGACAATTTAAATAATTATTCTGCTCCATTACTTTGGTTTTATTTTTAGAAGTTCCAATTACACATCTTGAATCTGTTTTGCTTGTGTATTTTTTTCTGTATTTCATTCAGATTTTGTCTTTTTGTTTGCTTTTCTGTAATTTTATCCTTACTATTCTATTTTCCTTATTGTATTTTCCACATTTTGTATTATACCTGTTAACCACCACTTAAAAAATTATCAGGTCCCTTGAAGCTGATATATCCCTTTGGAGGGGGTTTTCCTTGGAAATCTTTCTAATTGTTAATCTTTTACCTTAAAGATAACTACTAATTTGATGTCTAACAGCATCGACTAATTTTGCCAGTTTAAAAACTTTATTTAAATGACATATCATATTAGTTGTTATTTTGGTCAACATTGGATTTATAAGATTAACTCATATTGCTAACTGTTTAGCATCCAGTTGTAAGGATGCTTATCCAGTTGTGGGGATGCTTATCTGTCTATTCATAGTTAATTGTCATTTGGATTGTCTCCATTTTTTGGCATTGTGGTATATAGGAATTTTGTTTAGGAGGTACTTCTTGGGCTCCACCTCCATACAAAGACTATACCTCCCTGCCTTATTCATGTTGTGCTTGGCCTTAGCTATATTGGCAGATTTTTGTTTCGCAGTTACAGTACTTTCTAGGGTTTGTTTCTGCCAGTCCATTCTCTCAACTGAATGAATGTTCTGTTTCCCTCAGTCTAAGAATTGGTGCCTTATTCAATTTAGATTCCACTTCAAGCAGCTTATTTTCATGGTGAGGTGCTACTATTCTTGATTATTTGGTACCTTTTCCTGACATTGTAATACTTTAACCTGTATGGTCCAGTATACTTGTGTTTATAGAACACTTGAAATGTGGCTAGTCTGAGTTTAGGTGTGTTATACAAGTATAAAATACACACAGATTACAGTGGTTTTATATTGATTGTATGTTAAATGATAATATTTGGTTAAATAAAATGCATCATTAAAAGTAATTTCCCCGTTTTCTTTTGCTTTTTAGATAAATTAAATTTTGTTTGTGTATTTTGTTGTAGTAAGAACTTTTTGTGTTTTTTTTTCTTTTTAAAAAATTTTAGATTTGGGGGTACACAAGCATGTTCATTACATGGACATATTGTATAGTGATTGATAGTGAACATGGTGCCCCATAGGTAGTTTCTGAACCCTAGCCCCCCTTTTCACCTTCCCCTTTGTTGGTGTCCTCAATATCTACTATTTCCATCTTTGTGACCATTTAGCTCTCACATATGAGTACCATTTAGCTCTCACATATGAGTAAGAACATGTGATATTTGGTTTTCTGTTTCTGAGTCAGTTCACTTAGGCTGATGATCCTCAGCTCCATCCATATTGCTACAAAGGACGTGATTTCATTCTTTTTTGTGGCCGCATAGTATTCTGTGGTATATACACACCACATTTTCTTTATCTAGTTAGTTTTTGGTAGAAACTTAGGTTGGTTTTGTATTTTTCTGTTGAGTATAGTGCTGCAGTGAACATACAAGTACAGGTATCTTTTTTGTATTAATATATTGATTTATTTTCCTTTGGGTAGAGCCCTAGAATAGGGGATTGCTAGGTCAAATGGTAATTTGATTTTTAGTTCTTTGAAGAATCTCCAGACTTTTTCCCATAGAGGTTGAACTAGTTTGCACTTCTACCAGCAGTAACTGCACCAGCATCTATTGTTCTTTGACTTTCTAATGATGACCATTCTGACTGGTGTGGTTTTAATTTGCATTTCTTTGGTGATTAGTGATGTTGAGCATTTTTTCATATGTTTGTTGGCAACGTGTATGTCTTCTTTTGAGAAGTGTCTATTTATGTCCTGCCCATTTTGATGGGGCTATTTGTTTTTTTCATGTTGAGTTGTTTGGGTTTCTTGTAGATTCTGGATGTTAGCCCTTCGAGGCGTATTTTGCAAATATTTTCTCCCATTCTGTAGGTTTTCTGTTCATTCTGTTGATTATTTCTTTTGCTGTGCAGAAGCTTTTTGTTGAATTAAGTCTCATTTGTCTATTTTAGTTTTTGTTGCAGTTGCTTTTGGGGTCTTTGTCAAAAGTTCTTGGACTAGGCCAATGTTCAGCAGAGTGTTTGCTAGGTTTTCTTCTAGGATTTTTATAGATTCAGGTCTTACATTTAAGTCTTTGATCCATCTTGAGTTAATTTTTGTATATGGTGAGAGGTAGGGTTCAATTTTATTCTTCTGCATATGGATAGCCAATTTTCCCAGCACCATTTATTGAATAGGGTGTTCTTTCCTCATTGTTTATTTTTGTCAGCTTTGTCAAAGATCAGTTTCTGAGTTCTGAATTGTGTTCCCTTGATCAATCTGTCTATTCTTATACTAGTACCATGCTGTTTTAGTTGCTATAGCCTAATAGTATAATTTGAAATCAGACAGTGTGATGCCTCTGCAATTGTTCTTTTTGCTTAGAATTGCTTTGGCTATGTAGGCTCTTTTTTGATTTGTCTAAACTCTGTATTGTTTTTTCTAATTCTCTGAAAAATGAAGTTGATATTTTGATAGAATTGCATTGAACCTGTAGATTGTTTTGGGCAGTATAGTCATTTTAACAATATGTATTGATCCTTCCAAGCCATGAACATGGGATACTTTTCCATTTTTTTTGTGTTGTTTACAATTTCTTTCATCAGGGTTTTGTACTTTTTCTTGTAGAGGTCTTTCTCTTCCTTAGATAGGTGTATTCATAGGTATTTTATTTTTGTGTGTGGCTACTGTGAATGGGACTGAGCTCTTGATTTGGTTATCAGCTTGAGTGTTGATGGTGTAAGGGAATACTACCAATTTTTGTACATTGATTTTGTATCCTGAGACTTTACTGAAGTCATTTATCAGGTCTGGAAGCTATTTGGAGGAATCTTTTGAATTTTCTAGGTATACAATTATGTCATTCATGAACAGGGATAGTTTGACTTTTTCCTTGGAGACCTTTTATTTATTTCTCTTGCCTGATTGCTCTTCCTAGGACTTCTAGTACAATGTTGAATAAGAGTGGTGAGAGTGGACGTCCCTGTCATGTTTCTGTTCTGAGAAGGAATGTTTTTAGTTTTTCCTGGCTAGGTATGATGTTGACTGTTGTTTTGTCAAATATGGGTCTTATTATTTTGAGATATGTTCTTTCAATGCCCTGTTTGTTGAGAGTTTTTATCATGAAGGGATGTTAGATTTTGTCAAATACCTTTTCTGCATCTTTTGAGATGGTCATATGGTTTTTATTTTTGCTTCTGTTTATGTGGTAGATCATGTTTACTGATTTGTGGATGTTGGATCATCCTTGTATCCCTGGAAAAAACCTCACTTGGTCATGATGATTAATTTTTTTGATATGCTGTTGAATTCGGTTTGCTAGTATTTTGTTAAGGATTTTTAGCATTTACATTCATCGGGGAACTAAGCCTGTATTTCCTTCCTTCCTTCCTTCCTTCCTTCCTTCCTTCCTTCCTTCCTTCCTTCCTTGCTTCCTTCCTTCCTTCCTTCCTTCCTTCCTTCCTTCCTTCCTTCCTTCCTTCCTTCCTTTCTTTCTTTTCTTTTCTTTTCTTTTCTTTTGTTTTTTTTTTGTGGCCTTGCTTGGTTTTGGTACCAGTGTGATACTGGTTTTATAGAATGAGTTAGGGAGGAGTCCCTCCTCAATTTTTCTGGAACAGTTTCAGTAGGCTTGGTACCAGCTCTCTGTGTACATCTGATAAAACTTGGCGGTGAATCCATTTGGCCCTGGGCTTTTTTTGGAGGGGGGGGAGAATTTTTAATAACTGATTCAATTTTATTGCTCATTATTAGTCTAATCAGGGTATCTCTTTATTATTGATCAGTCTTGGGAGGTTGTGTGTTTCCAGGAATTTATCCATTTCCTCTAGGTTTTCCAGTTTGTTGCCATAGAGGTGTTCATAGTAGTCCCTGATGATCTTTTTTATTTCTGTGTTATTGGTTGTTATAACCCCTCTGTCATTTCTGATTGAATTTATTTGTGTTTTCTCTATTTTCCCCTTGGTTAATCTAGTTAGTGGTCTGCCAATTTTGTTTATCCTTTTGCAAAACCAGCTTTTTGATTCATTGATGCTTTGTATCTTTTTTTTTTTTGGTTTTACTGTCAATTTCTGCTCTGATATTTATTTCTTTTTTTCTGCTAACTTTAAGGATTCTTTTTTTAAAGGTGGCTCCTAGACCATTTAAAATCACATATGTGGTTCATATCCTATTTCTGCTGGAAAAATCTGGTTTAAGCTGTCACAGTATTGTGTTTGTCCTCATAACCTCCTAATGCAGTTGCTGTTTTGGGCATTCACTCCAACTTCAATCCTGTGAAGATATTCCCAGTTTTGTAAGTTATCCTTTGATGCTTACACTTAAGGGAGGGTCTGCTTCTCTGGGTGTGAGTACTTGCTGGTTTCCTTTCACTTCCACAATTTTCATATACCATCTGCTGATCCCGGGCCAGTCCTGAAGTTGTAGGGCTCTTAGTTTTGATGAGGCTGTTTGCCATTTATGGGTTTTTACTTTTCCTCATCTGGTTGAAGTATATGGTTTCAGGAGGAGTACTGGGGAATTTAAGAAAGTGGGCTGCTGTCATATTCTGCCTTGTCCAGAAAATTCTAATAAAAAAAAAATACGAATATGTTGCTCTGTTAGGATTATCAATAATGTTGGCTTATTTTTAGTGATCTTTATTTGTCACTGAAGTTTGAAAATATCATGCTGCAAAATAATAGAGAAGTTTTACCTTGTTATATACATTAAAAGTTATACTCCTAAAGAGCTTTTACCTTTTCTGACACTAAAAATAGATCTGGGCATTGAGAGGAACCTGGTTTTTAGTATCAGTTCTGCCTTCTTTACTTAGATCATGTACTCAATCACTCAGGTTTTGGAGCTAATAACAGTTTCTGAATGAGAGATATATACCACCTATTTCTATAACTGCAGTAGAGATATTTTTTCAGATTTTAAAAATAATGCATGCTCCTTATAGAAAACTTGGAAAATTTAGAAAACTGTAAAGATAGAGTTGGAATTTACTCATAATCCTAGCCTCTATTGTTCATTGTTAACATGATTGCATATTACTTTCCAGACTTTTTTTGTGTTCAGTGTACAATATATTTAACCAGATAAATCAAACATATATTTGGATGAATGAAAACCAGATACTCTTAAAAATTATGTTTGGCTGAGATGCAAAAGCTATCGTGATCATAGAATGGAGTTGTGGGGTACAAGAATGAATTTAAAATGTTAAAAAAATTGAATTTGTAGTATTAAAATATTTGTAGTCGGATTTTCCATGTCGGGCATCATAGTGCCAGAACAGTAATTTCTTAACCCTATGGGTGCTAGGTTCTCTTGGGGTCTTTGTGGTGTAGATTTGCAATACTGAATAGATGCCTAATTTTTTTTCCTTGAGTTCGGTGATTCAATAAAATCTTGGGGGAACCTCGTTTTTCTCTAATACTCCTTTATTCTCTACTATATATTGTGTATTCTTGTCTTACTTATAAAATTCTGGGATGCCAATTTGATGTTGTGCCCTAATTCATCTTCACTAAGTATAAAGAATTCCCAAACAGGACTTTTTCTTAAAAGATTTCTGACCTAAAATGAATTAAATAATTAAAAAATAAAACAGGTCTTCACAGTCATTCTTTTGATGTTATAAATACTCCTACACCAAACAATAAAAATTAGAATTATAATGTAGTCCAGTCTCCATTATTCTGCTCATATTAATTTTTTATAAATAATTGTTGACCTGAAAAGTGTATTCTCTTATTTCTATAGTTATTTAGCTAATGTGCTCTCTTATTATTTTAACTGTCAATTTCAAATTCCTAAATTGTTTTTATTTCTATAATAAGTAGCTTCTACTATCATGATTATGGCAGTATTTTACTCTTGCATAATAAATATGCATTTATACTTCAAAAGACTGACTCACATCAAATGCTAGAGTGAAGGAAGTGTTCATTTTCTGGGGCAGTTTCTTAGCCTCTGCACTATTGATGCTTTCAGTGGATACATTCTTGTTGTGGGGTCTGTCCTGTGCATTGTAAGCTGCTTAGCAATATTTCTGGCCTCTATTCACAGATGCCTAGCAAATCTCTCCTTCCTAGCTTGGACGCTTGAAAAAATGACTCCAGACATTGCCAAAATTTCCCTACAGGGGAAGAGTTACCCAGAATGGGACCCATCACTGCTCTGAGATAGTCATTCTAGTTTTTCCAAGGAGTTGTATTCTTTTTATTCAGGGAAGAACCATCTGTAGGTTTTGTTGTTTACTTAGCCTGGTAGTAAGTTGTCTTTCTCTCTCCTAGGGACAGGAGTAGGGGGAAGGGTCCTACTCCATTCCATATAAGAATCAGAGTCTTATTTCTGGCCTCCTCCCTACTCCTTGCCTACTGTTCTAAGCTCTCCAGCTTTTCCTGAGTCTGAATCTTGTCTCTTCCTCACTCTCCTCCAGGCTGTGGCCTCATCTGCTACCTCCGTCCACCAACATGCTTCTGTCCATTTTGTGGTTTCCAGAAACAGATCAGAGTTTCTCATTCATTGATGATCTTCCGTCCCATTCTATGTACTCTTGTAGATTTATTCCCTTTTGTTTTCTTTGCTGTCATTTTAAGGGCACCCACACAGAAGGATATGAAGCAGGTGGTTATGTTCAATCTGCCGTCTACATGGAAGCTGCCCAGTTGTCTTAAAATAGAAAGCCTTGGAGAAGACTTGTGTTTGTATACACTCAACAAATACATATAAATATCACATTCTGACCTTTTCCCGTTTACTTCCATCCTTTCTTTTCTAGGGCTCATTATCCTGGAACTCATACAGTAAGGGATGCAAAGTTAACTGGGAAGAAGCTTTGGTCTTCTGAAGATTTTAGCACTTTAAATAGTGATGTGGGAGCAGGCTGCTTGGGTCGCATATTGAACCAGAATTATATCAATGGCTATATGACTTCGTAAGTTATTAAAAACCATTTACAGTTTTATTATGGAAATTAAAAAAATACAATAAGTAGAAAAAAATGGACTTTCTTATTCTCACAACTTAGATTTAATGATTGTAAATATTGTACCTTATTAGCTTCCTCTATATCTATACCTTATCTACATCTGTTTTTCTATATTTGAATTTAGTCTATATTAAATAAGGTCAATTATAATTAATATAATTTATATAGTAACATATTTGCAGCTTTCTAATTTTTGACAAGCTACATATGTTTTAAATGAATAATTATAAAGTGAATTACATATGTATCTTGATAATTTACCCCTAAATATTTTAGCATACATCTAAAACATAAAGAAATTTTCCCACATGATCATGATATCATTTTTATACTTCAGACCATTTAAAAATATTTCTAGTACCCAGTTTGTATTCTGATTTTCCTAATTGTCCCCCAAAATATAATTTAAGTTTTTTATTTTAAAGGAAGATTTAATCAAGGACCATGCATTATATTTACAAATTGTGCCCTTCAAGTCTCTTTTAATCTAGAATAGTTATCTTAGTCCCCCTTTTTTTTGTCTTGTGGTGGACTGTCCATTTCCCAGTCTGCCTGATTCATTCCCCCCCACATCATTTAACTTGTGTAATTGTTTGTTTATAAGACAGAAGTTCTTAAGGGGGAACACAGTTCTTTTTATTTCTAAGAAGCATTTCTTAAATGCTTTGAAAACATTTTAATTTTAATTAGATTCAAGATAGTTTTCTAAAATAATGATAAATAAAGCAAAAGCAAACCAATATGCATACTTCTGTGATGTTAATGAATTGATATATATTGCATTTGTTCTTTTCTTTTTGGGAAAAAATGGCATATTTAAAGAGAATTTGGTTGTAATAACTTAATTTGACTTTAAGAGTAGTGCATGCTCATGGCAGAGAATTTAGAAACTGAAGATAAATACAAAGAAGGAAACAATCACCTATACTCTTATCATCCAGAAATAACCATCCTTAAAAATTTTGGTGTATGTCTTCCTATTTATATTCACATGCATACATTTTTAGTACAAAATTGTAACCATACTATAGAATCTGTTTAGTAAGCTGCTTTCACTTAACATGGCATTAGGAACTGTTCCCATATTTAAGTGCATTTCTGCCTCATCATTTTAAATGTCTATCTGTAACATAAAGCACTATTTCCCAAACATGCCTTGTTTTAAGAGCACCTGAGACACTTGTGATACTAACTCCTCAGCAGCTGCTGGGACTTTGACCCAAGCAGAATCTCCAGGGAAGGCTCCTGGGATTCTGTCCATCTGCTGTGCTGCCCAATGATTCTGATGCCACACAAGTTTGGGAGACACTGACGCAGAAAATGTAACTCATTGAATATTCCTCCCTTCTTAGAAATGGAAGTTGTGTTTATTTAATTAGCAACTTTGTACAAACTCAAATGATCGATTGCATAAGAGCATCTCTGTACATGTACACATCCATGATTATTTCCTTTATGTGTACTCTTAGAAATGGAATGTCTGGGTCAGAAATACATAGATTCCGAAGGCTTTTGTACACATTTTTACAAAATGTCCTCCAGAAAGTTTGTCTCAATTTAAACTTCTAGCACTAGCCACAGAGGATACCAGGTGTCTTGTAACCATGGACAAAAGCATGAGAACTCAAAATGTTCACTAGGTTTTTGAAAATTGGTACTATTGTTTCTGCTTTGTGTTGACAGAATTAGAAGGCTTTGATTTAGTAAGAATGCCAGTCTATCTTTTTATGTTGGATGAGAACATGACAAAAAAGTAAAATTATCTGGGTATGCTCTGATTTTTTTTGGTCTGTGAGGAACCCAGCAATACCAGGTTTGAGAAAGTCCCTTTTGTCATTGGATTTCCCAAGAATCAGAGTCACAGTCTTAAGGTTCAGCATCTGCTACATCCTCTTAAGGGCCTGATCATCTGAGAAACATTGGTCCAGAAAGCAGACCAGCAAGCTGATCCCCTATCTACTTGAAGATAAATTAGAATAATAGGAGTTCTACAACCCAGACCTTGTTCTGTTCTCCCCATGTGCATCAGTGCATTTAATTTTCATAACAGTCACATGAGCTAGGTACAATTATTATCCTCATTTTGCAGATGAGGAAACTAAGGTCCAGAGAGGTTAAGTGGTGTAACCCTGATCTGAACTCAGGCAGTCTGACTCTAAGATTTCTCAGGTGCAAAACTTTGGAACTGTTCAGACTCAAGTGTATAAAAATTATGTTATGAAATTGGGGCATTAACAAGGCTGTTCTTATCAGTATTTGACTCAGAGTTGTGACCTGCCTGGAACTGGCGGTACATGCTTCATCTTCTGGCTACACCATTATTCAGTAAAAAACGTATCCATTCCATAATATATTCATATATTTTCATTATGTGGTTTACCATTAAAAATATTTAGGTGCATCTATCACTAAATTTTTTTAAATGTGAGGGAATTTAGGCAACTCTCTTTTTTTGGTTTGTTTGGGTAGTCATTTACATGCATTTATATAACTATGATTAGGTCTTTTTTGATAATACCAGGCACTTATATATTTATCACAAGTTGTTTTGGTGTTTTTCTTATGTCAAACAAATCTTTTAGCACAATTGCTTGGAATTTGGTGGCTAGTTACTATGAACAGTTGCCTTATGGGCGATGCGGACTGATGACTGCTCAGGAGCCGTGGAGTGGGCACTATGTGGTAGAATCTCCTATCTGGGTATCAGGTACAGTTCAGATTCCATCTCTCTCTAAATTCCTGTCTAAGAGACAAAACAGAAAACACTTTGAGAAGATTATATCGACTCTGTGTGTGTGTGTGCGTGTTTTAATTGTGTCTCTGTTTTAAGGAAGATTTGCCAATGTTTTCTAAGAATATTTTGGGTAACTAGATGGTTTTCCGTTTTTCATCCTTGATTATCCTAAGACTGGGCTCTTAGAGAAATAGGAGAGGGGAAGGGGCAGAGGAAATGAGGGAACTGTCTAGTGATGAAGACAGAGCTAAATAATCATCTAAGTATGTAACTGCAAAGTATGGATAATTGCTGATAAAATGACATACCTGTAACGATTCATTCTGAAAGTCTTACAGTTAGACTTGGAGACACTCTTATTTTGATATAGTTTTGTTGATTAGAATAGTGTGCTCTTAAGATCAAAGGTGGGTGATTAACAAATACTGTGTTTATTGAATCCTTCAATGAATAAATGAATATAAAAGTGAAGTGAAATATCATGGCTTTGGATTGTTCCCAGACATCTATTGATGATGGTTGTTAAAAGGTAATTTTTAGGAAAGGTAAAAGCATGAATTGTACATAGATTAAAAGAGGAGCACCTGCTGAAGATTTTGTGTTTCTCATATGATAATCAGGGAACCAGGCAGATGGCAGATGTTAGAATCAGTTCAAAGGAAAAGTCCATACAGTACACATTTTTGTGGAGTAGCAGAATTTGAGATGAATTGTAAATGGAAGCAAATTGGATTTCCCATAGCAGAGAAAATCAATTAAATTCCTACCAGACAAGACATAATTTACATAGCTCAGAGACAGCTATCAGGGCTATAGCTAATATGTTCATTTTTGTTGAAACACACACGTTTTTCTACAGTATCATTCTTTAGTCACAAGGGAAGTTGAGATCATGCAGATGATGGATGACATGGTGTCACTTTTCCATGAAGGGATATAATCATACTAATATGAATAATTTAAACAAAATAAAAAATTGTTGCTGAATAATGTGACATTTTTCTATACCTTTTTGGTAAAAGATTAAACATTTTGTGACTATTTTGTTTTATAATCATAACAAAATCTTTTAACAAAATCAATTTCCTTAAAAGTAAGCTGCCTTTGGAGGAAAATTATGAATTTGAAATTATATTATTTTTGTTTTGTTTTGGTGGTTTTCTTTTTAATTGACGTTTCTCCTCAGTGAAATTTGTAATCACTGCATTAATCATATAATCATGATATTATTCTAAATTCCTTAAATTGTTCTCTCAAAAATATGGAAAAATTAAGTTGGACTTGTCTTGGTTGGTCAACCCTTTAAATGTTGAAATTGTTGGTCCTACATTATCTAGATGAACTAATATGCTCTTCTAATTTTATGGCTTTTTAAGGGGTGGGTTGGGACATGGACAATTGCTTAATATGTTTTCAGGACCAGTTTAGAATGTGACCAGTAAGTTTATATTGTGGAAATAAATTGTTTAAAACCATAAAACTTAGTTTTTGAAATGTGTTATTGACTTTTTAAACTCTTTTTTTGTAGCTATTTTAGGATGAGTTAAACAGAGATGAACCAAGGTTGGGAGGGGATAACTATTTTGTTCTTGAAAAAATAGACTGATGAATGTTCTTGAACTGACAGGCTCATTTATTTTTACCCATCATTCCATGAATCTGCCTGCAATTGTACCACTTAATTGGATTAATTACTTAAATTCTGAAACTTAAGGTTGGCAGGTATTTCCCTCCAAAACAGAGGAATCAGTCAGACTCAAGCTGGTATACAGCTTTTTTATTTGTAAAGAAACTCCATTATTACCATTTTTTATCTTATTTGGATCTCTCTCCGCTTTTCTATAGCTCATACCACGCAGTTTACTCAACCAGGCTGGTATTACCTGAAGACAGTTGGCCATTTAGAGAAAGGAGGAAGCTACGTAGCTCTGACCGATGGCCTAGGTAACCTCACCATCATCATTGAAACTATGGTAAATTTTTGTTGTTGCTAATGGATTCTCCCTTTTTTAGTAATGGAAAAATAACAACATGAAACTGAACACTTTAAAAAATACATACATATATTCATGCCAAGATCGTATAGCTTTCATTTAAAAATTTTAGCTACAACTCAGTAAAACAGCAGCACAACTCACTGGTTTATGAACTAACTCTCATCTTTTCTTTACTATGTGTTAATGGCATGTGGGCTACATTAAGGTGACTTGTTTACCAGTGTTTGTGGAGAAGACCTATTAAGATGTTCCCTTGTAGTTTTGTTGTGCAGTTTTGGAGAGGCTGTGGTGTTTCCCTTTTTCAGCTGCTCAGGTAGGACCCTGGGTCTGTGGAGAGCAGGGGCCAATGTACATTATAAGTATACATATTGTGGAGTACAGTTTGATGTTTTGATACATATATGTGGTGTGATGGGTATGTGATAAATCAGAGTGTTTAGCATACCTATCACCTCATGAATTTACTGTTTCTTTATTATGAGAGCATTGAAAAGCCCCCCTTGTGGCCATTTTGCAGTACATACCTTACTGTTAACCATTGTCACCCTACTGTGCAATAAAACCCCAGAGCTCATTCTTCCTATCCAGCTGTTACTTTGTTCCCATTGACCAGCCTTTCCCTATCCTCTTCTCCCTCATCCTCTCCCCAGTCCTCAGTGTCTGGTCTCATCTATTCTACTCTTTGCTTTTGTGGTAACAGCTTTTTAATTTTATTTTTAACTCAACATATAAGATCACGAGGTATCTGTCTTTCTGTGTCTGGCTTATTTCACTTAACATGATATTTTCCAGGTCCGTCCATGTTGTTGCAAATGACAGTATTTCATTATTTTTTGATGCCTGAATAGTGTTCTGTTTTGTATGTATACTACATTATCTTTATCCATTCATCCATTGTTGAACTGGTTGATTCCATATTTTAGCTTTTGTAAATAATGTTTTAATAAACATGGGAATACAGATACCTCTTCAACATACCAATTTCATTTCCTTTGGTTGTATACCCAGTAGTGGGATTACTGAATCATATGGTAGTTCTATTTTTAATTTTTTGAGGAATCTCCACACTGATTTTTTTTTTTTTTTTTAACATAAAAAAATTTTTTTTTAAGTTGGGGTGCAATTCAGGGTTAGGTATATAGATATTCATTATGCAGGTACCCTTGTTGATGAGGTGTGCCCCCCTTCCCCAGGCAGATTCCCACTACTGCTAATCCCACCTCCCTGCACACCCCCTGCAGTTTACTGCTACTGTTAATCCTTTTCTTATAGTATTACAACAGTTGTTCAAGGTCTACTTATGAGTGAGAACATGTGATAATCAGTACTTTGTTTCTGTGAAAGATCGCTCTGTATTTTAGACTCTAATTGCATCTAGGTTGATGCAAAGTTCATGATTTTTTTCTTCTTTATGGCTGCGTAATATTCCATTATGTGTATATACCACATTTTTTTTTATCCAGTCCTCTTTTGATAGGCAGTACAGTTGGTTCCATGTTCTTGCTATTGTGCACAAAGCTGCGTTAAACATACGTGTGCAGGTATCTTTTTTATAGAGTGATTTGAGTTCTTCCGGGCATATGCCCAGTAGGGGAATTGCAGGGTCATATGGGAGGTCGATTTTTAGAACCTTTAGGAGTCGCCACACTGTTTTCCACAGAGGCTGTACTAGTTTACCCTCCTACCAACAGTGTAGATGTATTCCCTTTTCACCACATCTTCTCCAGCATCTGTTATTTTTTGAATAATTGATGATGGCCATTCTGACTGGAGTTAGGTGGTAGCTCAGTGTAGCTTTAATTTGCATTTCTTTAATGACTACTGAGGCTGGACATTTTTCCATGTATCTGTTGGCTGCTCGTACGTCTTCTTTTGAGAATAGACTTTCATATCTTTTGCCCACTTTGTAATGGGGCTGTTTGTTTTCTTCTTTTCAGCATGTTTGAGTTCTTTGTAGATCCTAGATGTTAGGTCTTTGTCAGACATACAGTTGGTAACTAATTTTTCCCAGTGTGTGGGCTGTCTCTCTGCTCTCTTGATGGTTTCTTTGGCTTTGCAGAAGGTTGTCAGTTTGATGAGGTCTCACTTTTTTATCTTATCTCTTATGCCATGGGCACTTGGGTTTTGACTAGGAATTGGCTGCCAGTTCCAATTTCCATAAGGGTGTCTCCTACATTTTCTAAGGTTCTAATCGTTTGAGGTTTTATGTTTAGGTCTCTGAACAATTTAGGGTTGATTTTTTTGTGTATGGAGATGGGTAGGGATCCTGTTTCAATCTTCTGCATGTGGTCAGCCAGATTTCCCAGCACCATTTACTGAATAGGTTCTCCTATCCCCAGTGGTTGGTGGTAGAGGCTTTGTCAAAGATGAGTTGGTTGAGAAATTGAGGTTTTTCTTCTGGAATCTCAGTTCTGTTCCATTGGTCTATATGCCTGTTCTTGTACCAATACCAGACTGTTTTGATTAATTGTAGCTTTATAATAAAGTTTAAAGTCTGGGAGTGTGATACCTCCTGCTTTGTTTTTTTTTTTTTTTGCTGAGGATTGTTTTGACTATTTGTGGTTGTTTATGTTTCCATATGAATTTCTGTATTGTTGTTTCTAGGTCTGAGAAGAATGTTGCTGGTAATTTGATGGATATTGAATTACATCTGTAGTTTGCCTTAGGTAGAATGGACATTTTAACAATCATCAAGACAAAAAATCCTTTTTTGATCCTTCCAATCCATGAGCATGGAATATTTTCCCACTTGTTTGTGTCATCTTTGATTTCTTTGAGCAGTGTTTTGTAGTTTTCATTGTAAAGGTCTATCATGTCTCTGGTTAGGAAGATGCCAAGGTATTTCATTTTTTTATGTGACTATTGTGAATGGGATTGTTCTTTTTATTTGGATCTCTGTTTGTTTGTTTTTTTGTGTATAGAAATGTAATTGTCTTTTGTACATTTATTTTATACCTTGAGACTTTGCCAAAGTCCTTTATCAGTGTAAAGAGGTTTTTGACAGATTCTCTTGGGTTTTTGAGGTATAGACTCATGTTGTCTGCAAAAAGGGATAACTTGATTTCTTCTTTTCCTATTTGGGTATCCCTGATTTGCCTTCTCTTGTCTGATTACTTGGCTAAGACTTCCCAAACTTTGTTGAACAGGAGGGATGAGAGTGGGCATCCTTGTGTTCTAGTTTTCAGGGGAAATGGTTCCAATTACTGTCTGTTTAGCAGTATGCTGGCTGTGGGCTTCTCGTAGATGACTCTTACTATTTTGAGGTATGTTCCATCTATGCCTAGATGTTTGAGGGTTTTTATAAAGTAGGGGTGCTTGATTTTATCAAAACCTTTTTCTGTATCTAATGATAGAATCATGTGGTTTTTGTTTTTACGTCTGTTGATGTATTTAATTACTTTTATGGTGTTACAAATGTTGAACCAGCTTTGCATCCCGGGGATGAACCCTATTTGGACGGGGTGGATGATTTTTGAGATGTGTTGTTGGATCCAGTTTGCTAGGATCTTGTTGAGAATTTTAGCATCTATGTTCATCAAGGATATTGGCTTTTAGTTCTCTTTCTTTGTTGGATCTTTATCTGACTTGGGTATCAATGTGATTTTAGCTTCATAAAATAATTTGGGGAGAGTTCCATCTTTTTCAATTGCCTGGTAAACTTTCAATAGGATTAGTATCAGTTCCTCCTTGTATGTTTTGTAGAATTCTGCTGGAAAGCTGTCTGATCCAGGGCTTTTTTATTGTAGGTAATTTTCTTATGACATAGTCAATTTCCTGAATTATTATTGACTGTTTAGGGTATCGATTTCTTCTTGTTTCAACCTGCGGAGATTGTGTGATATCAGAAAGTCCTCCATTTCCTTTAGGTTTTCCAGTTTGATTCCCTGTATAGTAGTCTCTGCTAATCTTTTGTATTTTTTCAGGGTCAGTTGTGACTTCATCTTTTGTGTTTCTGATTGTGTATATTTGGACTTTTTCTCTCTTTTTGTTGGTCATTCTAGCTAGGGAACCATCAATCTTGTTTATCCTTTCTTTTTTTGAGTTGGAGTCTCACTCTGTCGCCCAGACTGGAGTGCAGTGGCCACTCCCGGCCACTGCAGCCTCGACCTGCTGGGCTCCGGCGATCCTTCTGCCTCAGCCTTCCAAGTAGCTGGAATTACAGGTATGTGCTACCACAACTGGCTGATTTTTTGATTTATTGTGGAGATGAGGTCTTGCCAAGTTGCCCAGGTGGGTCTCGAACCCACAGGCTCAGGCAATCCACTCACCTCAGCCTCCCAAAGCGCAGGATTACAGGCTGAGCCACCGAACCCATCTTGTTTATCTTTTCAAATAACCAGCTTTTTGTTTCACTGATTTTTTTGTATTATCTTTTTGTCTTCTGTGTCCCGAATTTGGGCTTTTACTTTGGTGATCTGGATTCTTCTGCTGATGTTAGGGTTTTGGTGGTCTCTCTTTTCCAGCTTCCTTAGGTGACTTGTTAGGCTGTTAACTTGTGATCTTTCCATTTTCTTCATGTGCGTTTGTAGAGATATGAATTTCCCTCTTACTACTGCTTTCATGGCATCCCAGAAATTCAGTAAGATGTTTCTTCATTTTCATTTGTTTCCAGTTATCTTTTAATCTCTGTTTTTATTTCCATGTTGACCCAGGAGTTGCTTAGTATCATGCTTTTTACTGTCTATGTCTTTGTGGGTTTTGGGGAAACTTTGTTGGTATTGATATTTATTTTTATTCCACTGTGGTCTGAGAAGGTGCATGGCAAAATTTCAGTCTTACGAAGTTTTTAAATGCTTGATTTATGGCTAAGGATGTGGTTGATCTTAGCGTATGTTCCATGTGGCGATGAGTAGAATGTATATTCTGTGGTCATTCGGTGGAGTATTCTGTAGGTATCAGTTAAGTTCATTTGGATGAGTCACATTGAGGTTCCGGATCTCCTTGCTTATTTTTTGTCTTGATGATCTGTCTAGGGT